AAAACAGGAATTGGTCTGTAACGTCATGATAACATCACAATAATGTGAGGAGTGATTCTCCTGCACTGACCGATCAGATATAAAGGAAGGCGGGTCTTTGCTGGATGTAATGGAGATCAATGGTCAGTCAGTACAGATTAAAATAATCAGGACGGATATAAAGCAGCTTTATCAGTGAGATAAACATCGATCCAGCTCTGGGATGATCGGTCTGATAATTTTGATTAAGAATAATAGTTGTCAGAGATTTTAATATCCACTTTGACAATCCTGAAGATGCACTAAGTAAGGCATTTACATCTATTATAGACTCCATAGGTTTCACCCAAATCATAAAGAGGCCCAAGCACTACCACAACCACACTCTAGACTTAATACTGACCTTTGATGTAGACATAGATAACTTAGCCATTCTCCCCCAGAGCACAGCAGCCTCTGACCATTACTTAATCTCTTACGAAATTCACTTTAGTGGTAATGTGCGTTCATCACCATGTTATTGGGTTAAGCGGACAATAACTCCCTCCACAGCTGGTAGCTTTATTAGAAACCTTCCTCAACTATCAGCTTCTGTTAGCTGTCCATCTGATCCTACTGAGCTAGATGCTATGACCAAGCTCTTAGAGGATACTTTTCGATCTACTCTAGATAGAGTGGCTCCATTAAAAAGTAAAATAGTAAGGCAGAAAAAGCTGCCCCTTGGTATAATGACCACACTCGGGCTTTAAAACAGACCGCCAGACAACTAGAGTGAAAATGGCGCCTCACTAAGCTAGAAGTGTTCCAGTGGGCCTGGAAGGAGAGCCTTATAAACTATAGAAGAGCACTTGCTACAGCACGCTCAGCCTCCCTCTCCTCTCTCATAGAAAACAATAAGAATAATCCTAGATTACTTTTCAGCACAATCTCTAAAATAACAGAGAACAAAACAGTTAGTGAACCCCAGATACCATCAGCCTATAGCAGCAACGATTTTATGAACTTCTTTAGTGATAAAATTGAAAAAATTAGACAAAAATTCAGAATACACAATTAAACTCTACAAACCTGCTGCCTTATAATACCAGTCTCACTGTTATGTCGATGACACTCAGTTATATATATCAAGCAAACCAGAGGATAATAAAAGACATAAAAGACTGGATGTTGAGTAACTTTCTCCTACTTAACTCGGATAAAACAGAGTTTCTGCTTCTTCATCCAAAAGCGGCTAGAAACAGACTGTCTGATTTTACACTTAAACTTAACAATTTCTCAGTTGCATCAAGCTCATATGTAAAAAACCTTGGTGTCATTATAGACCCTGGTCTGTCCTTCGACGCACATATAACTAATATTACTAGAACAGCCGTCCTGCATCTCCGCAATATTGCTAAATTGAGAAATGCATTCTCTCTACAGGATGCAGAAAAGTTAGTTCATGCATTTATTATTTCATGGCTAGATTACTGTAATGCCCTGCTGGCTGGATGTTCCAGCAGGAGCCTTAACGAGCTTCAGCTAGTCCAGAACACTGCAGCCAGAGTTCTTACTAGAACCAGAAAGTTTGACCATATCAGCCCAGTTTTATCAACCCTACACTGGTTACCAGTTAAATTTCGCATTGATTATAAAATTCTCTTACTGACCTATAAAGCACTAAACGGACTCGCCCCTCAGTACCTGAGTGAACTTCTCTCCCACTATGAACCATCACGCCTACTTAGATCACAAGGTGCTGGTTTACTATTAGTACCTAGAATTAATACAGTTACATCAGGGGGTGAGCTTACTCATACAAAGCCCCCCAGCTTTGGAATAATCTTCCTGTTAATGTTCGGGACTCAGACTCAGCCTCAGTGTTTAAGTCTAGGCTAAAAACTTACTTGTATAGTCGAGCCTTTGGTAATTAGTTTTCCCTGTCAGATCCAGACCTGCCGGAGTCTCTGCTGCACTGTTAACACTGTAATCTGTAATCAGTCACTCTTTACAGAACTGACACTTTGTGTGTTTTTCCTGTCTTTGCCGAGTTGAACAGCTGCCCATCCTGTGCGTCTGATGTTGTTGCCTTGCCTGCCGTGATCGGGTGCCCACTGCTCGCCACCCCTTTGGACCGGCCTGACCACCATTGAGCTTCATGCTGAACAACGCTGTGCAAACCTCACCTTCCCGATGCTGCTGCTGTTTAAACTAATCAAATTAATCATTTGCTCCACCTGTTTTCCCCGTTGTGTACTGCAATACCTTATACTAACAATGTTTCGCTATCCAGTGTTGACCAGAGGAGGATGGGTTCCCCTTCTGAGTCTTGGTTCCTCTCAAGGTTTCTTCCTCCAGCTCTTAGAGAGTTTCCTTGCCACTGTCGCCACTGGCGACGCTCATGGGGGCTCGGAGCTGGATTTCTTTCTGTAATGTTGATTTTTCTGTAAAGCTGCTTTGTGACAACACCTGTTGTAAAAAGTGCTATATAAATAAACTTTGCTTGCTTGCTACTTAGCCTTAGTTCATGTCTAGGGTTAGGGTGAAATGTGGCTACATGACCCTCCAAATGGAGGTTTTTCAGAGACTCACTCCAAACAGGGTGTCCTGAGAAAAAAAGAAAAGCCAGCAAGATGAGAGAGAGACCAAAGAAGCCCTCAAATGGTATTTTCTCCATTAAAAATTACAATAATCATTGTATTATCTCAGTGTGTTTCAATGTATTATGGTCCTTTTGTTTATAACAATCATAAAAAATTGCTAGTAATATGCCGATGTCAGTTCAATTTCCCGTTCCACCTTAAATGGTGCAGTCATTTAAGGTGGAATGGGGAAATTCAAATAATAAGCTGGTGAATACCTGACTTCAGCTTGATATCACCAAAGAATTAGGGATGAGCATTAATAAATAACTCTCCCTTTGAAGGCATATGATGCCCTAAATGTAACTAAAGCCCAGCAGTGAGGAGCTGAACTTTACCCTCCTCTGCTGTCACTGCAGACTGGCAGGGTCACCTACAGAGCAGCGCTGTTAGCTGTTAATGAAGTGATGCTCTTTTTATTTGAGGGTCTCATTTTGTAGAGGAAGATTTCCACCACTACCCTGTAACTTGGTTCCAAGGGCTAAGGTGACACTTGAAAACAAGGGTTAGGAGTAAAAATTAGGAATGGGATTGTTTGTCTGTCTTTTTCTGTTTATCTGTCTGTTCTCCACCTGCCTATATATATCTCTTTGTCTTTCTCTCTGTCTTTTTGTCTTTTGCTCTCTGCCTCTCTCTCTCTCTCTCTCTCTCTCTCTCTCTTTGTCTCTCTTCTAGTTTCAGTTTCTGTTTAGTCTTCTTTATTGGCATATTTAGATACAGTATTGCCATCATTATATATCACCAAAAGGCAAGATTAAACACGTAAAACATTTAACAATTTAAGAAGAAGTCCCAGTTTCATGGGAAGAGAGAACAATAACAATAATAACAATGGTTAACATAATAAAAAAAATCCAAAATTAATGATAATGATCAAATAGTATTAAAGAAGAGATAAAAAAAAGGATTATGGTGATACATAAGTATATAAAGTTGTTTACAAACAAGGCAATCAATTGTCTTCTGTGTGTGTAGTGTTTGGATGTGTGCTGTGTGTATTGGTGCCGCTAAGGCAATCCCACGATGCAATGCAGTGCAACTTTCATTGGCAAGCAGAAGCAGTGTGGTAAGCAGCCCAGCAAGCGGTGAAATCATCTTCAAATGTAAGTTATTGTGATTTTCTGCGGTATTTCATTGTTTTTTTTAGGTCAATTTAGGTCCATCAGTGACCATTTTAAAGTTTTTGGAACATTGTTAGCATGCATGCTAGTTGATTTTGAGGCCTCAGGCTATTGTTTTCAATAGCCAGCTGGCTAAGAAACTTGCTGGCTAATGACCAAGTAGCTTAACTAGCGATAGGTTTTGTCAAATGTTAACTAATAACAAGGAAGCACTATCTAATCTAATCTAATCGTTGATCTGTTTGTGTGTGTCTTGAATGATTTGGTAGAACAATGAAGGTTATATGGTAGAAGTAATTTGTTTGTGTGGTTGAGCACTTTACTAATCTGGTTAAAATTTTAGTTGAATAATGTTGGATCTTTTAATCTCTTTACATATTCTCTAAGAAATTTAAAGCCCTAAAATGTGGCTCAAGCTAAAAAAGAAATACAAAGTAAGTTCCAAGACAGAGCTGAAAATCAAGAGTAGAATAGTACATTAATTGAAAGATTAAGGATTTATCGCTTTTAAACCTTTTGAGTGTATTTCAAACATAATTCATATATTTAAGAAATGCTTCAGTATAATTCAGCTAGGCAAAAGGAAGCAAACTGAGGTTAGATCACAGGTTTGCATTTATTTTTAGGAGGTCCAGGAGTGGGACTGACAGCCATCACGAAGGATCATGCTGCCTGCTGGTAGAGAGTACTGTGCAAAGGACCCTTCCATCATGCACTGATCCAGGAAAGCCTTTAAAAACATTCAAAAACTTTGCCTGATGATCAGATACAGCGTGCTGCTGCACAGATGGATAGAGCTTTTTTTGCATGATACCCCAGCCTCACAAAACCTTGAGAAATGCTTTGTAATTCTTCAGTTTGCCTCATTTCATGTGCCACTCCGTGAATTACATAATACACAGTGGAACGGGGCATTGAAAATGCACAAGAAACAACTCCCAACAAACAACACAACAAACACACACTGACCAGCCACTTCATTAAGTACACCTCCTTGTATCTACTATCTTTGTCCATTTTATGGTTCTACAATTACAGATTATGGTCCATCTGTTTCTGTGCCACCAAGTCAGTGTCTCTGCAGTGCTGAGAATGACCCACCACTCAAATAATACCTGCTCTGCGAGGGTCCTGTGGGGGTCCTGACCACTGAAGAACAGGGTAATACAGTCAGAGAAACAGATGGACTACAGTCTGTAACTGTAGAACTACAGAGTGAAACTATATAGTAAGTGGAGCTGATAAAATAGACAATGAGTGTAGAAACAAGGAGGTGGGTTTAATGAATTGGCTGGCCCATGGGTATATAAATATTTACACAAATTAATTTCAAATTAATTGATTAAAGTAATTACTGTAGTATTGTATATAGCTGTGGAAATAGTTTGAATGCTAGTGAATGACTGTATTTAACTGTAAATATATTATATAGTTGTGCATATAATTTTTTGTTTGGTTGATGCAGGTTATCCACAATGGTGTGTGGTGTATGTAGATTTAAATTTGATGTATGTATTGATGTGTATGTCCTATTTGTAAACATTCAAAACACATAAAACAGTATTTGTTTTAAAAAAAATGGCAGCTAAGATATTAATGAACCATGTTTGATGTGGAGAAAGGGTTGACTGTTTTTTTTCCCCCTCAGAGAGTTTTGGATAAAAGTTTACTTTTTGTAAATATTAACTGTTCAACAGCAGCAAGTAGCTAATTTTTTAAAATTTAGGTGTCTGACCACAACTCCTGCCTATTCTGCTGTTTCATACAGAGCAAATTAAAACAATTAACGGTAATAAACAATTAACACATTCTCAGAGTCCGGTTTAGGGCCAGATAGCACTGCAATTTGCTGTGTGTGTTTGTGTCTTCCAATAGATGATGCCGTTTGGTTTTAAAATGTTATAATTTGACTTGGTCTAATTGTTTGTACTGCAGGCTGGTCCTGATGGATAACAGTATTAGTGGGTGTTAGTGAACTCAGTGTCAGGACCAGCTGTTTGAGGGAAATCTCTCTCTCTCTGTCTTTCTCACTCTCCCTCTGTGTCGAGGCTATTCTATTTCACACAGACTCATTGAGACGTGTTCATAAATAAAGAATCCAGTGTAAAGCGGTTCAGTGAATGTGGTGAAGAGTGTGTGTAAGTGGGTCAGCGTGTGCGTTTTAGGGGAGACGGAGTAGAAAGACACAGTGCCGGACTCCCAGTCCAGATACACTCCTACTCTGTTAGAGGGGGAGGGGGGGGCAGGTAGGTCAGTTTTCTGACTTTTGTGCCAGAAAGAGTAACTGTTACCAACACAATTCAGAGTCCAGGAGAGGTTGTTGCGTGCAAACACACAGTCATCACTGCTTCCTTTCCTCCCGATTCGTCTGGATGATACTGATAGAACAGCTATATTTCCACTCCACTGAACCTCCCAGTAACAGCGTCCAGTCAGACTCTCCACACTCAGAACCTGTGGCCAGGAATCAAATCTGTCTGGATGATCTGGATACGACTGATCCTTCCACTTAGTCTCTACCTTTCTGTTCCTCTCAGACAGAGAAAGATTTCTGTTCACTGTGTTTGGATCCAGAGTGAGATTAACAGCATCTGTACACAAACACACACACACACACACACACACACACACACACACACACACACAGAGAGATACACAAATACACACACAAAGAGAAATTAGAGGAGACACAAATAGAGAATTTTAATCTGTGTGTGTGTGTGTGTGTGTGTGTAGTGTGTGTGTGTTACATTTCTTCAGTCCTGGTTTTATCCTGATCTTCCCTCCATGATCCACCCTGAAGAACAAACACACACATTCAACAAACTTGATATCAAATTGAAACAAAAATAAAAGATCATTACAGTCCAACAAAAAAACACCCTTCAGACCTTACAGTCCAGATAACACTAAACTAAAATAAAGAATGAAACAGATCATTACGGTATTGGTGAATTCATGTCTTTTGAGTTTGTTGCAATCAACCTTTTTAATGATACGCCTGTGTTAATAATTGTAATATACAGACCTCCAAAGCAAAATAGTAAATTTATGTCAGAAATTGCGGAATTATTATCAGCGTCCACAAACTACGATAATATTCTTCTGTCTAGAGCTGGGCGATATGGCCAAAAATGTTATCACGATAAACAAAATTCATATCGTTCGATATCGATACATACCGCGATAAATGTCAAATCATTATTTCTTTCAAGTTTGAAGGCTGATTTCTGCTCCTGGGTGGTTAATTGCTGTTTTAAACTATCCTTTATGGTCAGAACACGACAAACACTCAAACAGTGGAACATTTCACAGATCTGTCGTGGGACAGTGGGAGAAAGTGTCTGGTGAGCTGTTTTTACCAGCTGGAAAAGCACGGCTATTTTGTAACTCATAATATAAGAAAGAAAACAGATTATTTATAGCTGGTGACGAGCGCTCGGCTAACTACCCCGCTACAAATGACATCACAGTATTCAGACGCCAGCTAGACGACTGGATTTCTCTATACTATCGTAGGAGTTTAAGTGGTGAACCGCAAAATATCAACACCAGACAAACAGAGTCCTCCTTTAGGTACGTTTAAACTGAAAGCGGTGCTTTTGTGTCGTGTTTGATCTACAGTACCATCAATTCTCCGTGTCGTGCAGTGACGGAGCGCTGCTTTAAGTTAGTCAGCTGCTAAAAACAGATAGCCTGGAAAGCTAGCGCTCTCCCGCTCTCCACTGCCTCACAGCTTCCTCAGTTTACTTTTGTTTACATCATGGCCGTAACTGCATGAACTTCTTTCTTTCACTTTCGCTGCTTGGGAATGCACTCATACTTAAATATGACTGTCCGAGCGCTGTAACAGCGCTGTAGTTGTGAGGATTGTGATTTAACGCTGCTAAAGCTGTTAGGATGTGAGTAAAGAGTTGAGTTCACTGTAGGACAGTTACAGTTACGCCACTGACCTCGTCACTCATACTCGGTCACAGGAGAGCAGATCGCCGGTCGCTCTGCTCAAACAGGGAATGTATAACTCCGCATTTCAGCCGTCGCTAAAGACTCATCTTACTCGTGGCCCCCTCCCTCTCTAATCATGTAGAAATCTCGGAAGTGCGCCCTCTCCTGGCGACAGCAGAGTAGTGTCGCTTTCCTTGCAGTAGAAAATGCCACCAAGGCTTTCGCTGAATGTGGAAGTGTGAGAATGGTGTATTATATCGAACATTTATCAAACATGTTGTATCGCTCTATCGAGGAAAAGTTATATCGCGATAATTATCGTTATCGTTTCATCGCCCAGCCTTACTTCTGTCTGGGGACTTTATCTTACATATCGATAGTCCTTCAGATAGTAATTCATTAGAATTCGTTAGACTTCTAGAGACATTTGATTTGAAGCAGCACGTGGGCAGCTCTGCCCACAAGCTAGGTCACATCCTGGATCTGGTCATCACTAAAGGTTTAAACACAAAGGTGTCTCAAATCTCGGCTGTTTTCTTATCAGATCACTTCTGTATTTTCTTTCAAATCAATTTAGAAGTAAAGAAGAAAGTACCTTAAAGTTACTTTAAAACATGTTACATAGACTCAGAAACAGTTGAGAAGTTTAAAACTGTTTATAATAGTTCAGCGACCACAGATACGACTCCATCCTGTAATGATCTAGTCTCCGATCTAAGTGCTAGATTACGGGAAGGCCTTGACCTTCTCGCCCCTATAAAAAGGAAGAAAAGCTCGCACACTCTTAAAAATCCATGGATGAATGCGGAAATACGCCAGCTTAAGAGACATTGTCGTAAATCAGACGCTTATGGAGGAAAACTAAACTGCAGGTACATTATGATATTCTCAAAGAGCAGATCTCAGTCTATAATAATGCTATGAAAATATCCAGACAGTCATACCTCTCTAGTGTAATCAATAGACACAAAAATAATACCAAAATCCTTTTTTTTCCACCATAGACAAACTAATTAACCAAAACTTGTCTGCTAGTGTGTTTCATGATGATTTATCTTCTAAAATCTGTGAAGAGTTCGCAATTCATTTCCAAAATAAAATAGACCTGATACGACAGGGTGTAGCTCAGCAGACGCAAACAAGCTCCTATAATGTTCCTGATAGGTCACCTACATCAGTAATGTTCAAACTAAGTTCAAACTAAGTTCATCCACATGTGATCTTGACCCTGTTCCTACTTCATTCCTTAAGATGGTTTTTGATTGTGTTCACAATGATGTTTTAACTATTGTAAATTGTTTTCTTGTTTTTCAGATGCTTTCAAAACTGCCCAGGTGAAGCTCTGCTAAAAAAGAGTAGCATGGATCCTTCTGTACTAAATAATTTTAGACCAATTTCAAACTTACCTTTTCTAAGTGAAGTCTTAGAAAAGTTGTTTTCAAACAACTAAATACATATCTAATATCAAACAATTTATATGAGAAGTTTCAGTCAGGTTTTCGTTCTAACCATAGTACAGAGACAGCGTTGATCCGCGTTATGAATGACCTCAGGCTCAGCGCTGATGCACAAAATCCTTCTATTTTGGTTTTATTAGATCTTAGTGCAGCCTTTGATACCGTTGACCACAAGATTTTACTCCAGTGTCTGGAATGCTGGGTCGGCCTCTCGGGCATAGTTTTAGAATGGTTTAAATCATATTTAAGTAATAGGCAGTTCATGGTTTCACTTGGAAATCATTCATCAAAATGATTTGCCGTTTCTTGTGGACTCCCCCCAAGGTTCAGTCTTGGGGCCTTTGCTTTTCTCTTTGTACATGCTACGTCTAGGTGATGTTATTAGGAAGCATAGTATACATTTTTCATAGCTATGCTGACGACACCCAGCTATACATTTCTATTCCTTCTGAAGATCAAGATTCTGCAGACAGACTAACCAGCTGTGTGTCAGATATTTCTCAGTGGATGTCACAAAAGTTTCTACAATTAAATCATGAAAAAACTGAATTACCGATTGTTGGTTCAGAAATGATTATTGAGAAACTTCGTTCTTTAGCTTCATCTACCAAACCTGAAGTACGAAATCTGGGTGTGATCTTAGACTCTGAGCTCTGTTTTACCTGCAAGTAAACAGTCACTAAAGTAGCTTTTTATCAGTTGAGAAAATCACTAAAGTTCAGCCTTTTCTATCTCAGAGCGACACAGAGAAACTTGTTCCCTTACAACTCGTACAAAACGCAGCAGCATCCTAACAAAAACAACACAGAGATCAGATCAGTCCTGTTTTAAAAGAGCTGCACTGGCTGCCTGGATCATTCAGGATAGATTTCAAGGTTCTGCTACCAGTCTTTAAAGCTCAAAACAACCTTAAAGCACCTGCTTACATCACAGAGTGTCTGTCTGTTTATGTTCCGGTACGTAATCTAAGATCTGCAGATAGTGGCCTTCAACAGACACCCTCTGTAAAATACAGAAAACATGGAGAGACTATTTCAGTTATTCTGCTTCTAAACTGTGGAACTCAGTTCACCTTTTATTAGACAGTCGAGCTCAGAGCTCACTTTTAAGAAGCATCTAAAACGTCTCTCTTTAACTCAGCATTTAACTAAAACTGAATGTCTCGTGGTTTTTAATCTTGTAATTTAATCTTTTTCATTTTCTTCTGATTCTAATTAAGTACTAATGATCTCTTCTATAACTGTGTTTTATCACTTGTCTGTAAAGCACTTTGAGCTGCCACCGGCATGAAAAGTGCTATATACATAAAAATTATTATTGTTATTATTATTATTATTATTATTATTATTATTATTTTTATCAATATAAAACACCCTTCAAACCTTACGGTCCAGATAAAACTAAACTAAAATAAAGACTAAAACAGATCGTTACGGCATAAAACCCCCTTCAGACCTTACGGTCCAGATAAAACCAAACTAAAATAAAGACTAAAACAGATCATTACAGTATAAAACCCGCTTCAGACCTTACGATCCAGATAAAACTAAACTAAAATAAAGACTAAAACAGATCGTTACGGTATAAAACCCCCTTCAGACCTTACGGTCCAGATAAAACCAACCAAGATAAAGACTAAAACAGATCTTTTTTTTCAATACTAAACAGAAAAAAAATGTACAATGACAACACAGATACAAAATGCTTTCCCCCTAAATTCCCCTCCTCCACCCCAACCTCCCATCCGCCCACCCCCATCCGCTAGAAAATCGACACAATTAACGCAGAAACAAAAGATAAACACCATAAATTTACAATAGCTTAGTATATGCGTCCATATACATAGACACATGCACTTGTATGCATGCATACCCTTTCTGACACATTAAAAAAATTATAAAATAAAAATAAAAATAAAATAAATAAATAGCGAGATTTTCCCATATTTGGATTGTTGGAGCCTTAGCATTGTGAATTCTAGCAGTAGAAAGCTCCATCATAACTATATCATGAAAATAAAATAACCACTTTCTACTATGCAACGTATAAGGGGGCATCCAATGCTGAACTGTCAGTTTTTTTGCTGCGGTCAAACCAGCAAACATAATTTTCCTCTGTTTCTCATTGAGCTGTAGTTGTGAATTGTCATTAAGAAGCAATAAAATTGGTTGAAGGGAAATGACCTTTCCTATAAGTTTAGAAAGTATAGAAGTCATCCTCTTCCAAAATGAATAGATCCCTGGACAATCCTACACCATATGTTTCAAAGAACCAGGTACCCCTAAAGAGCACAACTCACAGTTAGGATTTGACATCAGTTTAGCATGAAATCTTGATAGTGGTGTCCAGTTTGCCCTATGACAGAGCTTAAAGTGAATCAGTTGGTGATTAGGGT